TGTCGGAGAAACTGTGAATTCCACCCTGGGTACCGACGGAGAAGTAACCCCAGGCGTTTGAGCTACTTCGGAAGTTGAGCTCGTGCATGACACCATTGGAAGGCTTGAAGCCCTCACCGGGGTCCTCAGAGGTGATACGGCAGGCCGTGCAGTGGCCCTTGGGCTGGGGTCGTCGTTGAGATCCAGAAGCACCCTCGAGCTTGAAGTCGAAGTCAATGGCGCTGGAGGTTCGGGGATCGACACCGTACAGCAGTCTGATGTCGCGGATTCTGTGCAGGGGGATACCCATGGCGATCTGGAGCTGTGCGGCGGGCAGGTTGACACCGCTGACCATTTCGGTGGTAGGATGCTCGACCTGGAGACGGGGGTTCAGCTCGAGGAAGTAGAACTTGTCGTCCGCGTGTGAGTACAGGTACTCGACGGTACCGGCAGAGACGTAGCCGACAAGCTGACCCAGTCGGACTGCGGCCTCCTCCATGGCCTTGAAGGTGTCGGCCTTGGCAATGGTGACGGGAGCCTCCTCGATAATCTTCTGGTGACGACGCTGGACGGAACAATCACGGCCAAACAGGGAAATGTTGTTGCCGTACTGATCTGCAAGCAGCTGGACCTCGAGATGTCTGGCATTTCCAGCCAGCTTCATGATGAAGATGGGGGAGCCGGGAATCTCGCTGGCAGCAGCCTTGTACAGAGCCTCAAACTCCTCCTCGTTGGTGACCTTTCGGATACCCTTGCCACCACCACCCTCGGAGGCCTTGACCATGACGGGGAAGCCAATCTCCTTGGCCTTGACCAGACCCTCTTGCCATGAGGTAACGCAGCCCTTGGAGTAGATGTCATCGGCGACTGTGACAATGCCCTTGTCGTCAATCTCGACCTTGTCGACGCCAGTTCCAGACCAAGGAATGCAGGGCACCTTGGCGTGCTGAGCGACGATTGTGGAGGAAATCTTGTCACCGAGTGATCGCATGGCGGATCCGGGAGGACCAATGAAGACAATCTTCTTGGGTGATGCGGCGAGGGACTCTGGGAGTTTTGGGTTTTCGGAGGCGTGACCCCTAAAAAGAAACGAAATCAAGTCAGTCAATTGAGTTCTCGCCAATGGCAAAAAGAAGCAGAAAAATCGGCAACTCACCAGCCAGCCCAGACGGCATGGACGTCCATGCGCTCGGCAATGTCGACAATCAGCTCGACGTTGGCATAGTTGTGGTTATTTGTGCCGCCGGGAACTTCGACGTAGTGGTCAGCCATTCGAATGTAGTCGGCGTTGGCCTGTAAATCCTCGGGCGTGGCCATGACGGTGAAGTGGATGGCCCTCTCGTCGCCAAACGTCTCGTAGGCCCATTTCCGGACTGATCGAATCTCCTTGACGGCGGCGATACCGTTGTTGGCAATCAGAACCTGTTGGGAATTGACAAGTCAGCGCGCCGTCGGCCAGTTGAGTTGAGGGAGAGAACTTCAACTCACGTTTGTAATGACAGTGTGGCCGTCATGCTCGGCCACAAAGTCCTTGACCTTGCTGGCGGGGGCATTCGCCAGCCGGTTGCCTCCAATGAAGTGGTCCGCGATCTTGTGCTTCTCGGCGTAGGTGACGCTGCCATTGGTATGGGTGACAGGCACCGTCCTGCCGTTGCCGTTCGGGGCGCCATTTGATTCCGCCATGGCTGCTGTACGGCTGGAGATGTGATTGTGGTGGGGAGAAGAAGAAAGTTGTGGCTTTTTGGAGTAGAGAATTTAGAGTGAGGGGGAGGGGAAAGTCAGATCAGATCCAGAGGCGGTCGGTAGTCTGACGTGGATTCTGCCCACAGAAAAACGATCAAGTCGACATGAACCGAGTATGTATTAACAAGGCGAAATTAAGAAAAATAGCCAGACCGCGGGTATATGGACGGGCTGATTGGATTATAGGTGGATGGACAGAGAGTTGGAATGTAGGAATGTGAATGCGTTTCCCAGCTTGTTGGCCCGCCAGGGAATGAGGCTGAATGAATCAGGGCAGAGAGGAAGAGGAAGAGCAAAAGATGGTCGCAAGACAACGATTTGCAACCCGCTTTCGAGAAGGAGGAAACAGGAAGAAAGGATTACAAGAGATCCAGCGGCATTGGGTCGTGCGGGAGGCCCGAGAATAAAAAGAAAAGCCGCCCAGAGCTCAAAGAGACAACCTAGACAACTCTCGTAACGTAATGTAACAGGACAGTGCTAGACTAGACGATCGACGAGGGGCAAGGGAGGGTTCAACTTGGCTTGGAGGGGACTTGGAGCCGGACCCCCTGCGGCCGGGGGTGTGCGAGAAGCTTTCGGGGCGTCTTTAGTTGCAATTACGGAGCAGCTTCTGGGCGGCTGGCGACTGGCTCCAGGTGGCTTGCACTTGGCACAGGGGGGGAGAAGCGGCCCTAGATCTGTTGGGGTCAGTGGGTGAATGTCTTTTGCCATTGAGTTTAGTGAGGGTGGGTACAAAAGATTGGGCTTGGGCACCATTCGTTTCCGTCTCTTTGGGCCCGATTTGTGTAGGTTGTATGTAGAGGGGATTCACAGAGGGAAGAGAGGGGAGATGAGAGGGTAGATGAGAGAGATGAAGAAAGAATATTGATTCACAAAAAGGATTAACCCAGAGAAAAAGACTCGGGTCTTGATGTTGTACAGTTGCTGAGGGTGGGGGAGACAGAGAGCAAGGGAATGGATGGCTCATTTGATGCCACCATCAACTCAAACTCACACAGTACAGAAAAGGGTTGGGGGTGATATCAAACACCTTGCCTACCAATGCAACCACTGGCGATCTAAGACCCCGTATCTATCTGCCGGCAATCGATCGATCAAGTCTAACCAGCACAGTGCTCGTTTCCGTATATGCAATGTGTGCGTTATCAGCAAGCAAGCAACACCACGCATGTACGGCGTAGGTCATGTATCGTAGAATAGAGGTAGAGGTAGCCACCATTGAATCTAGGTACGGTTATTACTTGCACAGTAAGGCACCGACCGATCTAGGTTGTATCTCGCACATTGGAACCCACCGAATCGAATCGACGTCCTTTTTCGTTGCCTTCAATTTCTCAGCTGCAGCAGCTAGTCAGTCTACGGACGGACGACGGAGTCCCCAGGGCCGGACGTGGACACGAGCTATTAAAGAGAAGCCCATTTGGCATTGCCCGAACCGGATAGACGTGACGGGGGCAGCAGGCTGACGGACGGAAGCGCAGACTGCACATCTTACAACTTCTTGTTCCCATGATGACCGGCGTTGCAACCCTGGCTTACAGTGCATTGGGAGGATGACGGCGCTGCGTAACGCGCCGAGGGTGGGAAGGATGATGAGAGGGATCTAGGGTCGGATCTAGGATCTGGGAGGAGTGCGAAGGAACGGGATGGAACTTGATGATAGTCGAGGCTTGCCGGCTGTGATTATTGGCTGTGATTATTACTCCGTCTGTTCTGCTGTATACCAGTCGGTCATCATCATCATCATCATCATTGTACCTACATATTGTACATCCGTGTAATCAAATGCAGCTGCACTCGACTGTCACTTTACAGCTTACCTACATGCCGTTTCTTACATCCATGATGTTACCTAGCAAGGTTTGTATCGGATGCATCTGAATGCAGCCCGTGTTACCACAACCGACTAGAAACGAAAACCTACTGTACCTACCCAAGCATCGCATCCTTACTAGCATCACCTTCTACAATCAAAAAGCGTCGCTCATCGCAAGCAACGGACCCCGTGCCGGCCGAGCTCATTTCACCTTGCTTGCTTGCTTACTCCGTACCCATCCCGCAAAGGCAACCTTGAACATACATTACAAGTTAAGCTCTCTCATCTCTCATCTTTCATCTCCCTCGGCCCCCGCGGACCGCAAGATTATCATCGGAACGGCAAGCAAGCAAGGGCAAGGAACTCACTCCATGACGACGATAAGCCCAGCCCAGCCCCCCTTCAAACCCAAGACATGGCTAAACAAACAAGCATCAGATACTCCGTAGAGAGAAACAAGAAGAAGATACATAGAAGCCCCATCCTCGCTGCAACAAGATTAAGCATTCAAATCTGCAGCCCCACCGCCCAAAACCCGAGATTCGGTCTTAGCCTCCCGCTGCTAAACCAAGGACGCACTCGTGCCCAAAAACGGCCATCGGCGAATAAGCAGCGTGGATAAACCATTACCAAGGACCTTGATGCTTGCGGCAATACTCCATCATCGAGATAGGTACACTGTAATACAGTACAGCAAACCACGAAATATTATGCCGGATAGAGTCAGTTCCAATTCGATTTTACGCGTACAGCAAGCAGGGCAGCCCATCCCATCTTCCATCCCGCATCCCCATCAATCCATCTAGTGTAACTAAATCCCATAGTCCATAACATCGCAACAAACAAGATAACGTACAGTCCAATCTTCCGCTCACCCATCACCAAAAACAAAAAATCTCAAAACAAGCCAACAAAAAACCAACCTAGCAGCAAGTTACTTCAGCAAACCACCCATCCGTCATACTACGTCCATGTACACACTCCCCAAGCTTCTCCCCATCATTCTTTTTTTTTTTCTGGGTCCCCTTCAATTGTTGAGTGTCCACCCAACCACTTTTACCTACCTTAGCCCAGATGAGATGGATCTCCATCTCTCTTCCATTTTTTTTTTCTCTCGTCCGAAAATGCTCCGTACCGCTCGGGGGAACGGCTGCGCCAAACCGTCTCACCTCAACCCTCAACCGACGACTTTTGTACCTTTTTCACTCCCTGTGTATTATTCGTTGCATTTTAACAAATGCTCCTTGAAAGCAATAAATATCCAGACAATATTCCATATTCTGCCAAAAGTAAATACAGCGTATATATTAACTCATCACACCACCAACACTCTCACCTCATCCTCATAAAATACCCGTAAAACAAAACATTCAACCGCCGACAAACAAGAAACAAGAAAAAAAAACACCCGAACCCGAAAACAAAATCCCAAGAAAAACCCAAGAAAAACCCAAGAAAAACCAAAAAAGCTCACCACACGCCCCCCAACAATTCACACAAACTCCAAAAACGGGGACACCACACACACACACGCCCCCTCCATTCCAGCCAATCACGTCCCACACAATTCACCGGAATGGCCCATCATCCTCCCTCCGGACTTGCGGCCTCCGTTGCTCCCGCTTCTTTTTTCCCTTCTTTTTCCAGCATTCCCTCTTTGTCCCTCTATCGTCGTCGCTATTTTTTTTTCTACAGCACTCATACATACTCCATTAGTGCTATGCCTAATAAAACCGCTAGCCCGTATTACCAAACTTCATTGTTTGTTTTTGCCTATCTCAGGTCCGGAGAAAAGTAACCTTGAGGCTTTGCCTAAACAAGACTGAGGGGGGTGAACATTTCGTGTCTACTATACTCCGTCTTATTCTTTTCTCCAAGGTTCTTTTCGGCTATGAGCGGTGGATAAGGTAGGTAGAGGTTTACGTACAGACATGCACCTAGCCCAGGAACTTCATGTATGGTCTATTCCTACTGTACTGCACTGTGCTGTGCTCCCCCTTTGCTCCCAACATGATACATGATACATGACAACCAGATCGAGATCTCATATTCCCTCTATACTACAATATCCCTTTCAACCTCTTCTACTTCTACCATCTCCAGCTACATGCATACATAAGCACTGCCGCTCTCCCTTTCTAGCTCCTACCTACCTATTCCGTCCTCGTAAATTCCGCACTTTCTTCCTCAGACTCAAGACGGAATCCGAACTCTCGGGCTCTGTCATGCCCCATCCCGGGCCGAGCCTCTTTCGGCAATCCGATCCCATCTCATTCTGCTTATCCAAACTCCGAGCCGGTGACATAACCATCTCTCCATCTCTCTCTATGCTCTCACTTTTTACTCTTTGCTCTTTGCACATTCAACCAGATAAAAACAAGGAGGTAAAACAACGTATCAATTTTTTTTTTCTAGGCTACGTATCTCTGATATCTAGTTCCTAATTCTAGCTATCCTCTCTCCCTCCACACTGACCTCACTGTCTGTCCCTCCTCTCATCATCCCTCATATTCAACCCCCCCTTCCAATAACATCCCTCCTCGCAAATAAAAAAAAGGTGGAAAAAAAGACAAATGAAAAGCAATCTATAGAAATTTATGTTTAGTCTTTGTCGAGCTCAGCCCGTACCATCTCTTCATAACTTCCATGTGTGCGTGTAGTGTAGTACCAAGAACAAGAACCTCCCCCTGCATCAAGATCCGGGGTAAAGGGTCGAGGTATAATAAGTAAAAAAATAAAAGATAAAAAAGAAAATCGAATAAAGCGGGAGGCAAAGGCAATGAAACCAACCGTGCGTTGTAGCATGAAGAAAAAACATGCCCGTAATCAAATCATCATCAACACCTCGTTCGCCTCTGTGATGCCAAAAATGTCACAGCGACCAAAATGCACCCGTTCCCAAAATACAGACAAAAACAATTGAACGCAAGGCGAGAACTGGAGTTTGGGGAAAGTAAAAAAACAAAAAAACTAAAAGGAAAGAATAATTATACTAAAGAGAGTAAGGTCTCGGAAACAGGTTGCTGTGCAAATCTTGACACGAGAGCTCATCTCATCAATAAGTCTCTCCCAAGTCGCCCAGTTTCCTGAATCCAGTTGTGCTAACGCGGCCCGATCGAAGAGGGACGCCGCCGGTGTTGGTACTGCCACTGCTAAGGCTGATTCTCCTGGCACCGCTCTGCCGTCTCAAGCCTGGCCCTGGGATCCCGCTGCCCGGCGCGGGAATGGCACTACCTGGTGTCGGTATGCCGCTGATGCCACCGATGCCGCTGATGCTTGTCCCCAAATCATATCGGGTAGAAAAGGTACCGCGCCTACTAGGCGTGCGGTACGGGGGCTCATGCTCAGGTTCCTCTCCGAGCAGGTTTACGCCACTGACACTACCAGAGTGCCCGCGGCCAAAGGAGGATGCCGGCCGGCCAATTGGGGTTCGGGTCCCCGCCGAAAAGGAGCTCCGCGACATCGGCCGCGTTGGTAATGGTATTTCGTTGCGAGACGGCGGCCTAGCGTATGATGATGCTCCGCTTGACCGCGATACTGGCCGGCTGATCTCCGAGTCTGTTGTCCGGCCGTTGGACTGAGTACCAAAGTTGATTCTACTAACACCAGACGCGCTAAGCCTGGGAGTGTGGCTAGTCTTGGACGACGAAGTATAGCTACTGGTAGGCGTCAGGTTTAGATCGTCCCCAGTGAAAGACGATGATGCCGTTGACTGAGTAGTGGCGCGCTTGCGTGAGCGAACCGCCGTAGATGTCGGCGCGGTGGGAGTCAAACTAGGCATCGCAGGTCGAGAAGCCGGGCGAGGCGGAGTGCTGCTACCGCCAGGAGCGGGGAGCTTGGACCGTACCGAGTGCACTCTGGCCTCGAGCCTCTGCATCTGAGCCGTGAGCAGGCGGATGTGCGACAATGAGTTTGACGCGGGTATCTTGTAGTTGCTGTTGCGTGATACGGTTGATCTATGGGTGGGCGTCCGAAGAGGCGCACCGCCGCTGTTGCTGTTGCTGTTGTTGCCGCTGATGCCGCTGATGGACGGGCGGCCACCAGTGACAACCCGGTTGCCCGTCGAAGAGGAGGCACCTCCACGGGCTCGAGAGCTGGCATCCACCGACGGCAATCTAGTCCGGCGAAGGGTGGCAGGGGCCGGAGTCCGGATCCGTGAGGGCGCTCTCGACATGTGCGCCGAGGCATCCGACATTGGCGGCGACGGTGGATCCAACAGCTCAGTAGTCGGCTCTCCCAGTGACTTGGTGATCTCTGGGGGCGTGGTGATGAGAGGCGAGCTCGCGGCCGAGTCGACAGACGCATCCACGGCCTTGTCAAAGGTGGGGGACTCGAGGATCGAAATGTCGGAGGAGATGGTCGAGTGGCGGGATTCGTATTTCTTGACCTTGTCTTGCATGAGCTCAGCTTCAATCTTGAGCTCCGAGAGCTCCTCTCGCAAGCGCTGTGACTCGATGCGAAGCGCTTCACGCTCCTGTTCGCCCATCTTGATCTCTTCCTCCATCAGGACACCCCGCTCAACAGCCTGGTTGAACTTGGATTCCATGTCCTCGAGAGACGAGGTGGTGTTTCGCGCTTGGCGTTCGAAATCATCATTGGCAACCTCAGAGTCTCTCAGTCTCAGGGTCAATGTGCGGTTTGCCTCTCGAAGGTTTGTAATTTCCTTTTCTAGCGAAGCTTGGGCAGTGGTAGTTTCTGCTTTGGATTCTTTGTATTTTCTCTGCGCAAGTTAAGAAGAGAAAAGAAAATTAGCCACCGTAACCGAAATATTCAAAGCGTCGCAAGCGTAATTGAAAGGGGGAGTTGGTTCATCCAAATCGCCTGCAAGCCGATTGAGGGTTTTAAAAAATGAGCGCATCCAACTTACCTTCCACTCTTCAACTTCAAACCGCAGTGCGTCGGCCTTCTCTTTCAGGATCCTCTCCTGCTTCTCTGCTCGTTCAATATCCTTCTCCAGTTCCTGCTCCAATTCCCGACTGGACTCTCGGAACTCGGCCAGCTCAGACTCCAAAAGCTCGTACTGCGCCTTGTACCAAGACAAGGCATCCTCGGCTCCGGCAGCCTCGCTAGGAGGCGATGAAGGTGGTTCGGCCATGGTGGATCAAAGCTCAAAGCTCAAAGCTATGTGTGGGCTGGGTGTCGTCGTCCCTTCTCTTGTTCTTTTTCCTCTCTCGGTGAGTCGGGCGGTGTGGGCATGGAATGTTGTGCGACGTAAGATGGTAACAAAAAAAAAAGGAAAAAATGACAATGAATGAATCGTTATGATGCGGCTTGATTTCGCTAAAATGTCAAAGCACCGGATAATCGAGCGCAAGTCGTGAGTAATATTTGTTGAGACAAAATAAAAAGAAACACTGGCAAGTGGTGGTTTATCGTGGATCGTTAAGGAGTGTAACCGTCGAAGAGCCGGCGAGCTAAACAGAGCTCGAAGCTAGAGCAAAACAGCAAAAAGAGAGACTGAGAGAGAGTCGCTTGGAGATGATGAACGAGTTGGAGTCGCAAGATTGCAGATATTCGGATCGGGTCGGCGATGGTGAGGCCTGTAAACGCAGCCCGTTTGTCGCTCGACTTGCCTTCACCGGGGTTTTCGTCAGCTTTGGGCCGTTTCAGCCGCCGCCAGAGGCCGCTAGAAGGTTGCGCTCACCGAAACTGATGAAGCCGACGCCGGACTTCAATCTACACACGCAAATGGAGGCGCTTCTGATGCGCTCCCGGGAGAGTCAAGGCGCAAATCACCCACAAGAGCCAGAACCAGAACCAGGAGCCGCGGCAACGAGTCAAATTTCGCGAGGCGCGGCGTCGCTGTTTCTGGCCGCCAGGGGATCCCGGGCCGAGTAACGTCCGTCCTGGTCGCCGAGCCGTGAACAGCGCAAAGCAGATGGAGTGTAAGAAGGCAGAGATGGCGGCAGAGAGACGCTCAGAGTCAGTTCGAAAGCCCGCGATAGCCTGCAGTTTGCAGTTTGCAGTTGGCGGTTGCAAGTTGCATGTTTTGGCCCGTGACGCTGGATGCGACACTCTCCTTGGGGCTGCATCAGATTTGGGCGACCGGCAGGCGGCGCTATGCTGCTTGCGGCCTAGGCGCAGGTGGCCGCCATGGGCAACAGCGGGCTCCAGGTCTTCCAGGTCTCCAGCTTGGCCAAATTGCAGCGGCTCGGGCGCTGCACTTGCGCTGCACTTGCGCTGCAGTTGCTGCCAGTTACAGCGGGCTCGATCCCCTGTGGGTCACGTGGTGCATCGCCGTCGACCACTAAGAACCGCTGCAAGACACCAGCTCGACAATGAACGAGCACTCAAACTCGTACTTGGTACCGGTACCTGTATGTACGAAGTACTCCGTTATTTCGGGGTGCATTTTGCAGTTTGCATATACCGCCTTCGAGCCACTCAGCAACAGCCTCACCTTCAAAAGGTGGACTCTGCCAACGCATCCATGCATGCGCACGAGACTTGACAGCCGACACTCGCGCCTCTGATTGGAGAGTCTCGCCTTTTGATTGGAGAGTCTCGCCTCTGATTGGAGAACGAACTCGCGCCCCAAAAGGCTCACAGCAGCCCGGCGAATGCAGGTAATTATTTCGCATGTAAGGAATGATGCTCGACTGCATGAGCCGAACATGTAACGAGTACTTTGTAACTGTCAGATCCCGTGTCGCGGGGAAACTTGATTCGTCGGAATGTAAATAAGATGAGATTGGATGGTGCTTTTCAGGTGACAACAAACCCCATGACGGGTTGTTGCTACCCAAGGTGCTGCCACTGCCACACTGTTCGTATGATTCTTTTCTTTTGTTTTTGGTGAACAGGTGTTTGCAAGAGCAGTTTCATTTATTATCCAGACTTTTTGGTTATGGAATATACAGCTTCGTTTGTTTCCTTGCTTCTTCCATCTACACTCCCGGGTAGTTTTGCGCTGCGAGTCTTATAATGAAGGTGGTGTTAGTAAATCCAGCAATATTAGGGGATATGCTCCATGAAACAAGATACATAAATGCTGATTTCTCTTCATCTTGTTATAGCGCTTTGAACTAGAGCTTGCTAGGGTTCTTGGTGGCCAAGTCAGGATGCTGCATGTTGGCCCCTCCCTCCCAAAATGAAGCTCCCCATATTGCATGATATTACCCAGCTGAGCCTTTTTAACAGCAAACCACAGACATGCACAATAGCAAAGACACAACACCTCTTAATGCTTCTCGAAAATGAAAAGAGAAAAATAATGAGTTGATTTCTTGCATCTCTTGGTTGACAGTTACTTACCTACGTACATATAATGCTGTTGAAACCTAACCTAGCCTCGGGCTAGTATAGCAATAATACCTGAGCCATGCCCAATCCTTCTAAACTACCATTCATGCCGAGTACCCTCCATGTCATAAATCTTTATATGTGCAGTCGTTACAGCCCAATCCTCCTAGCCAGTCAATACTGTCCTCCCCCACCTTCATTTACCGCTGGGCCCTGCTGGATCTCTTCGTCCCAGATGCCCTGGACCCAAAGTTGTGCAAACGTTCACCAATCAAATACGCCTCATCCCTAACGCCCGCCGTCCACCGGTTCGTCACCTTGACAAGACCGACCGCGTGCTTGGCAAGTATGGCGGCAAAGGCTGCTGCAGGATAAGACTGTCTGTAAATCACCGTCAGCCTTACGGCTTCGGCGGCATCCTCGACCAGAGCGCCTCCATCGAGGCCACCGTGCTTGATAACGAATCCCGCCATCATGGGCGGCCCGAAGATAGCCACGCAAGATGCCATCAGGCCCGGGATAACAAAAGCTCGTGTCAGAAGGCGCACATCGGGACGCAGCCACCCGCGGCGCATGATGGATCGAACTGCCGTAGCGGCGCGGCTATCCGGGAACAGCGAAGTAATCAATCGACTTCCCAACTTGAGATAGAGCAGTCCCAAAACCCACGATTGAATAAGACGCACCGTGTGGCGATCCACTGCCTGGTCCTTTAGAGTCGAAATCGCCGCAGGAGGATACATGTACGTGTGCAGCGGGATGGTGACATAGAGCTCCATCAGCAGCGAGGTAAGCAGTGGGAACACGATCAAAAGCGCAAAATAAACGTAAAGGAGCTTAGCCAGACGGAGGCCAATCAGGGCTCCTCGTCCCACAGCCTTGCCCTCAAACAAGTCGCGGCGTGCCTGCTCAGTCCACTTCTGAACCGTCTCCTTAATGACGTGGTAGTGGAATATCGAATAGGCAACTGTGCCGAGCAAGAACACCCCAATGCTGAAGGCGTATATGTCGTTCGTTCGAATGTAATGTGGTATCAGCTCCTGGAAAATTCGTCTGCCAAAAACCAAGGGAATAATGGTGAAGCCCACGCCCGTGACCGAGGCAAAAAGCCAGATGAAGAGAATGAATAAAAAGACTCTGGCACGGAAGTTGGGAGGCACATAGACCATAAGGTACTGGTCTGAAGCATAGAGATCGTCGTCCGAACGGCCATCTCTGCGGTGGTTGCGTTCGCTCACTGTCAGGAAAATCTTCTGCCCCTTGGGAATCTTGATACGATCCGACGCGGGGGCCCGGACAAATCGACCATCCTTGACAAGCTGCTGAGAATCGACCAGCTGAGCCTTTCTGCGGCGTAGGTCTCTCCTTTGCTCAGAATTCATGGTCGTGTTTGGCTTCAAATCGCCTCCCTCAAAGGTATCTCGCCAAGTCTTGGGTACAATTTCGTTCCCCTCCCCGAGCTCGAGCAGGAAACCCGTCTGAGGGAGCCTGCCAGCCGTAGTCCCAGGGCGAAGATGTAAAACTCCTTCCTCGTCAATTCTTCTCTCCCCGAAAAGGAAATATGTCAGTCTGAGAGCTCGTGCACATCTGCGGAACCACCACGTGTACATGGTGTGGAGCGCGTCGCTGGGCTTGAAGAATTTAACGGCAAGGGGCATGAGGAAATTGTAAAAGAGCAAGTCGACTGGAAATTCCAATACTGGCTCGTTGGAAGAGTAGTGAATGGGGAGCACGCCTGGCATGGCAAATGACAGGCCCCATACAACACCGCCGAGACACACAATCACGAGAGCTCCGTACACGAAAGCAGAGAAGAGAATCTTCCTCAGTTGAGTTGTGAGATTTCTCTCTAGTACATCTCGGACGGGGTGGAACTCAGGGTCGTCAGGATCTCGGATGAAGTCTGTAAAGAAACCAAATGTTAGTCAAGGACTTATTGTGAGAAGAAAAAAAGACCATCTTGAGTGATGACAACTTACACAAAACACCTGGTCGCATTATCTTCCGGCACATGGAAACGAAGAGGGCAAAGTGAAACATGTAGCCGGTGCCTACGAACCAGTGCACAAATACCGACGTCATCGGATACTTGCAAGTGAAGACGATCCGGCTCGTCAGTGTGGTGCCCTCGAAAAGTGGCAGCAGGGCCGCGTCGAGAAGGAGGCCGCAGTAAAGAGGAAAGACGAGCATTTCGATGCTTATGATGAGTATCACCTTGATGATGCCGCTGGCCTGCTGGAGAAAGTCGATGATACCGGCCTCCCATGCATGCATCGTCGTCCCCCTCGAGAACGGGCTTCCCTTTTTCAGATACAACGCACCAATCAGGAACACGGTGGTGTAGCCGGCGAGAATTGCCCAAAACCTGTCCAAGCTTGACCAATGTGCCAGCTGCGGATCGACTGCAGGCCACTCTTCGGTTAAGCTCAGATCAATCACCCACGAACTGGGCTTCATAAACAGGGATGAAAGCTTGACAAGTGTCTCGGAGGTGGAACCAAGCACCATCGTTGTCGTTGACAGGATCTTGTCAAACCCCATATCACGGGCCATACTTAGGCTATCCTTGAGGTTATAGAACACAGCCAAGATGTTGGACTTGACGGTGTTGAGTGCGTCGTGGCTCACTGCCGAAAAGTTGTGGATTTCCGTTGTCGTCATGGGGAAAAAGTCTATGAAGAGGCACGTAGATAATCTGGTAGCAGCGCCTGTCCATAAGCCCCAAGACATTTTCCTAGCCGAAACGACATGAACTTTAGCGGAGGCGCCCACGACGGTTGCGAGCATCTCGACAATGTTCAGCGCGCCCCAAGAGCCCAATCCAGCGACCAGGAAAGTGGCATCTTGTAGCAACTTGGAGAGCTCGAAGAGCAAGCGCACAACTCGCATGGGGCTTGCAAGGAGCCAGACCGAGACACGTCCAATGTTGTAGGGGAGGAAAATGCAAGCAAAGATGGTGACAGACACAAGCACGGCGCAGAATATGGCGTTTTGGAAAAGCCCTGCAATAGGACCACGCATGCCAATAAGTTCCATAACTCCCTCGAAATCCTCCAAGTCGTCGATCGCCTCGGGATCGAATCCAGCAGCGTTGCCGTCGGCGGGAAGCCCATCACCATCCTCGCCGTTAGCCCCCGCCCAGAGATCGTCATTTTCAGCCGCTTGCTCAGCAACAGCTCGTATAGCAGCAGCTCTCTCGGCGGCAATGGCTGCTTGTTGGGCGGCAGCGTCAGCAACAGGGCCGGCTTCTGCAACATCCGGCTCATTCAAATTGCCCCACATGAAGTCAGCAACTCTATCGACGAGACCACCGGCTGGAGCATCACCACCGTTGGCAGCGACTTCCCCGGCCGCACCGTTTATGTGAGGCGGTTGAGCTTCGAATTCAGCATCCAAGTGGTGGCCTTCTCTATCGTCTTGATCCGGATGACGCTGATACACTTCTCTATGTACAGGGTAGCGTTGGTAGACTTCTCTGACGGGTTGATGTTGGTGGATGTCCCTCTCCGGAAGGCGCCGATAGTTTTCTCTGTTGAGATGGCTGTCGTCATCATGGGTTGGCTGCATATCGTCAAGATCCTGTCCGGGCTGCTCTTGGATGACGGGAAGGGTTTGAGATGCTTCATCGTGGTTGTCATCTGTAGGAAGTGCATCAAAGGACCATGAGTTGTTTGCCAGCGGATTAACGAATCGTTGCTCTTGGAAGCCGTCAGACATTGAACGAGGTCTGGTGGTAATATCATATAGATCATCCTCCAAGTCAGCGGCCGGACCCGACATATCGACGTCTTCAGGTTCCGGAGACCAGGCTGGTTCTTTTCCTTTCCAGGTGGATGGAGATGGGAGGGTGTCATGATCCGAACCAACATCTTGCTCGTGCTGCTCCCCTTCCTCTGCGACAGGGTCACTTGTAGCCTCGCTTGTGGCGTGACGGTTAGCATTGTCCATAGTCGATCGCCTAGTAACCTCGACCCAGTATTTGAGCTTCTCTTGAAGCCCTTCCTCCTCGATGATTCGCAATATGTCTTGGAGATCACCATTTGCGCGGCGGTAAATTCGCAGATAGTCTTCGACAGTGGCTCGCTCTTCCGCAGCATCCCCATCATCAGCACCTTCACGTGCCTGGGAATTCAGTTGATCGTTTTGTAAGGACGTGTTGGTACTGGACGTGGGGTACGGTTCATGTTCTAGTAGGGAATGGTTCGAGGAATCCGGAGTCAATGGCTGCTCGTCAGCAGCCGCGAGCGGGTCCGCTGGGATCAATCGCCAGTCTTGGGCACCCGCCTGTTCGCTGTCCTCCAGGGTTTCATCGTCCGAATCGGTGGGTTCTGGGTTTGCC